GTCGCTGGCTGTGCGGGCCGCGGGCTCGGCCACGCCAGGCGGGAGGCAGCAACAAGGTGCCGAGCCGGGGTGAGTGGGGCCGGGGAGCGGGCGGGTGAAGTGGGAGGGAGCCGGCCTGGCAGTGGGGAGGGTAGCCTCGATGCTGCGTGCCCGGTCCCACTGCTGTCACTCGCGCGGACGCCCGCGGCACCCTTTCTCTTACTTGCTGTAGTCCCGGCTCGAGGGAACCTGTTTTCTGGCCCCGCTTTGCCCGCTCCGGTTTTGCCACGCCCCGAGTCTTCTGAAATCTGACCCTCCCCGGGGTGCTGTGACCCGGAGAGAAGAAACCTTACTCGCTGCAGACTCGGGGCCCAGGCCGTGCCACACCCGCGGCGGGGCTACTGGAGCCACTCACGTCCCTGTGCCCTTGGGCCACTCTTTGACACCAGGGCCCTATCTCTCTGTCCAACAGAACTCGCTGCAAAAAAAAACTTTCTGCAGATGCCCAGCCTCCCAGGTACATAAGCAAACAACAGGAAGGAAAGCCCAAGAACCTATGCTCCAGCCGGCTTGGAATCATCTTGAACTAGGGAAAGGAAGGAGAGTAAACAGGTGAATTCTGCAGCTCAGGTGCTGGCCCTGCCATGATCACCTTAGGGAATGCAGAGAGGTGACAGTTATCCATGATTTCCTTTGCTCGGGTTTTGCCAGCATTTTCAAAGGTTTTTCCGTCGTCGTCCAGCCGACCCAGTGGGCTCTTCAGAAAGGCTTCCGTGGAGCACCTTTCTGCTGAGGACATGAGAGGGAAATGGGTTGGAGGCAGGTGTCCAGGTGAAATGTGCTGGAGTACTTGCGCAGGCAGCCAAAAAACAAGGACGGCTTATGGTGATGAAGGGCGATCGGTGCCCTGCGCATTTAAAAGTGAGACGGACACAGGGGCTGAAATTCAGAGAAGAGCTATAATTGAGGTTTCCCCTTAGTACGCTTTAGTTTTTTTCCTTTCTCATGAGAAGTCTCTGAAAGGGAGACCACGTAAACTATTAGTCCAGTTTTAGTATTATTATGGGTGTTAGTCCAGGATGCATCCACGAGGCCCCAAAGCCATCTTTGGGCTTCAAAGATGAAAGAGGAATTTGTTTTTCCTGTACACTGTGCTTAGAAATCTTTTGTCAAGGAAAAATAAACAAGAAAGTAAGCGGCCTGAGATCTGTTGTAGCCTTTTCCAGCCTCCTGGGTTATTGAACGATCACGTGATAGCCAAAGTAGCTACGGAAATTCTGACCCACTCTTGGGAGAGTTTTGGCGACCCTTTTTATTTGGGTATTGTATCAGAATCACAAGGATACATTGTCAAGCAGAAAGTCATTCTCCAATGGGACCTGTCTTGTCCTAAAAATGTCCAAATAAGAGTGCAAACTTGGTCGTATGCTCTGTAGGACTGATTCTTTAAAAACAAAACAAAACAAACCAACAACAAAACAAAACAACAACAACAACAACAACACTAACCTAAATATCTTTCTTGGGTCCAGAACCCGTTTCTTCTGTTTGATACATAGAGATGTTTACAGCTGGTGTGACTACTCAGCCTTCTGTGCTTGACAAGCAAAAACGGTGTCCATTATTTTTAGCTTTTCCACTGACGGTGTGTGCCGTCCCTTTCTTGACTTGAATTTCTTCCAATGAGGAAATCCCGCCTTCTCCATACCATTCTTGAACGTATATAATGCATTGTGACTGGTGCCTGTCAAGCAAGTGTGTCTTTGTATTTCAGACCACGGGGCTGTTGATTCCCCCTCAAAGTTTGTGTTAATAACACTGCTTCCCTGGTTTCCATCTCTTGTTCAAGCTTCGTTCTTTTCTGCTTTCTCCAATTACTTTAGCTCCTCACTGACCTGCAGCTTCTCTCATTAGTTAGGGCTGTGTTGGGTATTTATACCTCAGCTATAGGCTCCGGGATCCTGGTCTTTCTGTTATGTTTATATCACTGTTCATTTCCTACATATGAGTGATAGGTCACATGTCCCTTTGCTGAGGTCTTTCTTACGGGAGATGCAATCTGAACAGGTGCTGATGACAGGTCACACCCCTGGGTGGGACGTCTAAGTCAGTTGATGAGATCACAGTTTGTGGCACAGAATCTCTGGGTCTGCTCACTCCCATCTTGGTTGGATGCGTTCATTCTTGCTTTTCACCCACATTCACTGCACTTTGAATGATAGAAATGTAACGGATAGCCTCTGGGTTTTCGGGATTGTTCTTTTATTTTTAAGTGAAATTCTTGCAGTCCTCAGGGATGTACTCTTTGTAACATGAGGTCTCCAAAACGACAGCGCCTTGACTGTGTGGCGCTGGTCAGTTCCTCAGTTCCTCCAGAAAAGTTTTGACTCAACATCATGTTTTGCGAGTTTGTCTCCTGCTGGGCTCCTCTCACTGTCAGCCTCAGCCTTCTCTGAAATGACCTCCACCCCACCCCCACCCCCGCCTTCTGTTGCTGCTTTTGACGTGTTCCAGGTCACGGTCTGTGCTTGCTGCAGAAATGCTTTCTGAACAGCCTGCAGCCCTGGGAGCAGGATGGGAGTCAACAAATGTACATCTGGATGGAGCAGAGCCCCAGATGGAGAGAGGAAACCAGGAAGAGGGCCCATGGAGAAGGGCACCAGGGCCGCTGGAGCACCTTCGCTGTGACCTTGAAGAGGAGCCACTGTCCCTTCAGGAGAAGTGTGAGGACATGCAGGGTGCTTTGGAAGCACTACAAGTCTTCTAGTCTCTGCTCAAAAAGTAGTGTCAGAAATTCCCAACCTGGCTGGATGCAGTTGTAATCTCATTACTTGGAGGCTAAGGTAGGAGGATTGCCACGAGTTCCAGGCCAGACTGGGCTACATCCCAAGCAGCAATTAACTCTAAGGACCATGGACTGAAGGACATAATGCCAGATCCAGCCTGTTTTTCCTGGACCCTGCTGTCCAGTACTCAGTGGGGCCATGCACTTCCCTAACTGTGCCAATGGGCTCTTCTGTTTCTCCCATAGTTGTTCCTTCTACATGCAAGGGCATAGTTAATGGTAGTGGATGTGGGAGACACAGGAAGTGCTAGAGACTCATTATTATTCTAGAACATGGTCAATAATATGTAGGATACTTGATAAGAACCCAGCAGTATCCATTCAAGCTATGCCTGTTCCAATTCAATGTCATTAAATCTTTACAGAACATGTTGAGAGATTTATGTATACATTTGAGTTTTTACCAGGGAGCATAGATTGAGAAGGTAAATGGGCCCCAGAGCATGCTGGGACAGATGGGTGGTTTATCTCTAACAGCTCCTCTCTCCCCTTATCAGCTCAGGCTGAACCCTGGGCTCCTGCAGTTCCCCAGGAGGGCAACACTGCAGACTGGGAAATGGCAGCCGCACTTCTTGCAGCCGGATCTCAGGTGAGTTCTTCCCGGCCCCGTCCTCTCCCGAGGTCACTGCAGTTGCCTTTCTATAGCTTTGGCATCATCCCATTGGCTTGTTAGTTCCTGTGAACACTAATGGTATGCTTATAGCCGAGTAGATTGTGTTTCTAAGGGATGTAGATTGTCTTTTAATGTTATCTGTGGGATGGGGTGGGGAGTTCAGAATAATTAATTGTCTTCTTTTGGGAAGAAAATCTGTAATCAGGTGTGATGGTGCCCAGCGGTAATTCCAGTTACTAGGGAGACTGAGGCACAAGTGTTGCCCAAGCCCAAGAACTTTGGGCCAGTCTGTGTAGCATGGTGAGACCTTATCGCAAAAAATAAAATTTAAAAAAAAAAAGAAAAAATCCTGGAAGAAGTGAGAAGAGAGGGTCCAAGGAAAGCATAAAGCAGACGGGTGTGTAGATTGTGGAGCTTTTAGGAAAGAAGAGAAGGAAGAAACAGGAAGAGAACACAAGTCTAGAGACTAGCCAGGAGAGACAACAGCATCGCTAATAGCAACATGTGCAGAAAACTTATCACACGCATTTTTTCCTGTGTACCTTGTATATGCTATGTAATATGGGAGCCACACAATCATTCCATTTTATTGTGAGAACATCGGGGCAGAGAGAGATGGAGGCGTTTGGATAATACCACTAAGAAACAGTAGAGCTAACAGTCATTTGGCTCCAGACTCTGAGCTTACCCACTGTACCGCAGCACCTGATGGGACATCATAGCATACCAGGGGAGCCAGCGTGTTTTGTTCATATCATGTTGTGTTGACAGAGAAGGGAAGGTCGAGTGGAGGAAGGAGGCTGTGGTACAGTCTGCGAGAAAGGATGAGGAGGTAAGAGGAGACTTAGTAGACACCTGTAGTTAAAGAGGGAGTGATGCCTTTGTCACGGCTCTGACTTCTCACGTCTCACACGGGAACCTCGTCTAGGGACATGATCCTCACTCAGTCCTTGATCTCATTCCTTTACTCTTTTTCTCTTTACCAAAGCTGTGGGTCTTGCCTACTGACCTGTTGGCAGTTCTCTAGCTGGGTCCTCTCTCGCCCTCCTTCCTGGACTATCTCAGCCCTTCATAGTAAGATCGTATTTTCCATCAGAGCAACTACTGACAGACAACCTCTGTGCTTTTTTCAGGGACTGGTAACCATCAAGGATGTGTCCTTGTGCTTCTCCCAGGAGGAGTGGCGGAGCCTGGATCCCTCACAGACAGACTTTTATGGAGAATATGTCATGCAGGAGAACTGTGGGATTGTCGTCTCTCTGAGTAAGCAGGACATTCTGCTTCCTGAATGGCTCTCCTGGGAGGGTGGGACCACCTGTGCAGGGCTGTTGGATAGTATCTGCCCTTGGCAGGGACTCTGTCTAGGTAGACTTCCACCAAAGAAAGAATGTTTGGCTAAGCCTAAAAGAGTTGAAGCAAGGGATCTTTCTGTACATAATGCCAAATTATGGAGGGAATACTTGAAGCTCATCTTGGTTGGGAATTTGAGACTTTTTAGAGAGCAGAGAAAGGGACACCTGGAGATAGATCCCTGGGACCTGGAGCATCCCCCTGGGAAGGTAAGGGTACTACTGCATGGGATTGACAGTGGATCTGAGGTCCAGTCGCAGCCAGAAGGATATGGCCTGGGAGGATGTGAGTGGAAGAGAACTGGTTCTTAAGGAAAGAGCTTGTGGTTTTCTAGAAAAAGAAAGAGGGACTAACAGAAGTGACTGGAGGCTTGTGTCCAACTCTTCTGTCATGGTATCCCAAGGAGGAATCTAGGGAATGGTTTTGTTCATTAATAGAGAATTGCTGTTGAAGTAAGCTAGTGTGTGTCTGTTTCCTCTCATGGACAGGGTTTCCGATTCCCAAACTGGACATGCTTTCTCAGCTAGAGGGAGGAGAAGAACAGTGGGTACCTGACCCCCAGGACTTAGAAGGGAGAGATATCCTGAAGGTCACATATACAGGTGAGGACCCAGAAATACTCTCTTGTGGTCTCTTCTTTACTGTATCTCTAACCAAAAAGCTCAGAGTTCTTTTATTTCCAAAAGCAAGGCTGGGGTGCAGAAGGTGTGGAAGACAGACCCTGACATCAGGCTGTATGGGCTTGAATCATAGGTCATACCTGTGAGACCTCATTTCTAAGTTATTACAGCTAGATATGCTAACCCCTGATTGCAGAAGAGCATCAAAACATAATAGTCATCCGATAAGAGTTGTTATTGACTCTGTAGGTCACTGTCCAAGTCACTGCAGAGATAGATGTCTTCTAAATGGATCTACTGATGCTGACCGCTGGTGACTTAACCAGCGACGACCACACCTCATTCCTTCCCTCTCTGTCTAAATGGAGGTGTGAAGATGAGGGGCTGGTCGTGATGAACAGTAGTAAATACATAATGTTGGTAGAAAAATAGTAGTGAGAGTGTTTATCACTTACTGAATGCACACCAGAGTGGATATAATTATCCTGAAAAGAAGGATTCTGGTCTTACAGGGAGAGAGAGGAGAGAGAGAAAGACACACACAAACACACACACACACACACACACACACGGGGCGTTCCTGTTTTATGAACAAAATGAAGACGTACAAGGTAAGGAGTCTTAGATGAAAACTTGACTCTTTTCCTGTTAAGACCAGGGTCTTGAACATCCCTGGAGCTATTGCCCAACCTTGTGATTTCACATGTGCTCTTCCAGCCCTTCTGGGGTAACCTTTGGCACCATACACCTTTCCCTGGGACTGAGTGCTGGGATCGCATCTTCGGACTCCCCTTCTAAGAGTGCTATTCTTCCTTCCCCATAGGAGATGGAAGCGAACATGAAGGTGACACTCCTGAACTAGAGGCAGAACCTCCCAGGATGTTATCCAGTGTATCTGAAGATACTGTTCCCTGGAATCCAGGGCAGGCTCGGAGCTGGGAGTCCATGCCTAGGGGCTCCAGAGAAAGGCTCCTAAGCCCACCCTTTCTTCGGGAAGACAGCTTCTCAAGCCTTCTAGGTAGTGCTGAGATGGAGTCTCTCTTAAAACCCCATACGTGCCCTCAGTGTGGGAAACAGTTTGTGTGGGGCTCCCATCTCGCCAGGCATCAGCAAACACACACTGGGGAGAGGCCCTACAGCTGCCTCAAGTGTGAGAAAAGCTTCGGGCGAAGGCATCACCTGATTAGGCACCAGAAAACCCATCTACGTGACAAGCCAAGCAGGTGTTCTGAGTGTGGCAAGAATTTTCGATGCAACTCCCATCTGGCTAGCCACCAGAGAGTACACGCGGAGGGCAGGTCCTACAAGGGCCAAGAGATCGGAGAGAGTCCCGGAGCTGGGAAACAGCAGCATGCCCCACCGGTGCCAAAGTGCCATGTGTGCACTGAATGCGGGAAGAGCTTTGGCCGAAGGCACCACCTCGTGAGACACTGGCTGACTCATACAGGGGAGAAGCCCTTCCATTGCCCTCGCTGTGAGAAGAGCTTTGGCCGCAAGCACCACCTGGGCAGGCACCTGCTGACCCACCAGGGACAGAGTCCTGGGAGCAGCTGGGACAGAGGGACATCTGCCTTTTGAAATCTGTCTCTTCCGTGGCTATGGCCAAATCTCTCAGCCGGTGCTCTCAGCAGCCACTGCCAGAGCTGCCCTTCTCCTGGACCCTGATGGCCAGAGCATTTCTTACCAGTTCGTACAAAACGGAGTTCTTTGGGCAAAATTTTGGGAAACAGTGCAAAATCTGTGTGTGATTATTCAGCTTGAACCCACTGTCAAGAAAACAGTGGAACCATTAGTGATGGGTGATTCGTTCTCATTGGTTGGAGTCTTTGTTGGAGTCTAAATATTTATATATCACCCTTGTGTGCCAATTATATCCCCTCTTCAAAGAGAGGGAAAGAGGCCATGTCAGTATATCAAGGGCCCTTAGAACTTCTGCAGTCAAATTAGTGTCTACTAATACAATGTTTCCTAAATTTATTTGGCCTCAGTATCTATTTCAGATCCCCACAGAACTGGTGACCCTGTGAAACATATTTCTGTCATCACTGGGTTAAAAGTCAACAAGGAAACAAGAAAGAAACAGTTACCAGGCACTCAGAACCCCCATGTTTATCTACGGAAGCATGGGGACCAGACATTGTTGTATAGGACTGTCATCCTTACCCATCATTACACGTGCCTCTCACCCTTACCTCTGAAAAACATAGAGTGGCCTTTCACTCCCTATTCTCTCTCTCTCTCTCTCTCTCTCTCTCTCTCTCTCTCTCTCACACACACACACACACACACACACACACACACACATGCGCGCACACACACACACGGCTGAGAGATCAGGTTACAAAGCTAAAGGAAGGACCTTACACCTCCAAGTAGTCCAGGCGCTGAAGAAAACACTATTCCTTTCAAGAGCCTTCCCTTTGTATTGGGTGTCTGTGTGTATGTGTGAAGGGTCTTTGTGGAAAGCATGCTCAGGGCAGACGGGACACGTGAGGTTTTCTAGGATTGTGTTCTAGGGTAAGACTAGTGGGGGCAGTATGCATTTCTGGTTTTTTTTTTTTTTTTTTTTGAACGGTGCAATGGTGGCTTAAGTTGTGTACAAAGTTTTCCCCGGTATTCTTGGGATGTAGACGTTTGTGGATTTGTATATCTACGTCCGAATCTCTATGATGAAAATTATTTCCCCCCACATACATGGAAAGAGACTATTTTTTGTTGACTTCAAGCAAGGTGCCAGTGGGTCGTGCTGAGTGCAGTTTTGTCTTGTTTTAAGTGCTAGAAGATTAGGACAGGAATAGCAGCACCAGAAGTCACTTTCATCTGTCTTGTTGGGTTTTCTTAGCTTCTTCAAAGGGAAGAACTGTTGCTGAGCATCTCATTCTCCCGGGAAAAGGGACTTTAGGGGAAAAGGCTTCGCCTGGCAGCTGGTGAGGGTAAAGAGCTCTCTGAGACGGTTCCTCTGTGTTCTGGAAATGGCTTTACCCCGAGACTCTTGACTCTAAGGTTAGCTGCCTGCATGAGAGCTCCTACCAATGTTCTCATGTCTGTTGGCTCATGAGTCGGCCACTGTTTTTCATTTTGGTGGTGGTATTAATCTTACAATCTAACCAGTCTTATAATGTACAAACTTCTGTATAAGAGAAGTTTGGAGTTAAAGAGGGAAAGAGCAAAGTATGTAAAAGTGGGTATTTTTCTCTTCACGGTTTATGCTGTTTTTGTTTCCCCTAAGATATTCATTTCTCAAACACTGTTGGAATTAGCCAACAGAAGCAGAGAAGCCAGAGAAGCAGGAGGAAGTGGTTTGCAGCAATCTAGTTGATGGGGGTTCTGCTCAGAAAGATCTGGGTGAATCAGACAGAGCTCTTGGGTCCTGGGCTCAAGAGGAATTGAAATAGAGTCATTTTGCTGACTGGGCATCCTGGTTACTTAAGCATCCCCACCCCTAACTGGCTCCTACTGCTGAGAATAGCCTTCCTTCTTGAGCTCGAATGCATTGATCTTGTGTTCTGATGAATTAAGCAATGACAAGCAGCCCTTTGCCAGCAGGCCTCAGCCTAGGCCCCAGGAACAAAGTCAGTTTGGAGTCAGTGTTAAGAGAAAGAGAAAAATCTCCCACTTAAGTCAGTTCTGGGCAATGCCCTCTGTAAGAGAACACGTTTCAAAGGCTCATGGTGGTGTCTCACACTTGTAATCCCAGCGCTTGGGAGGCAGAAGCAGATGGATTGCTACGTTCTGGGTTAGGGACAGCTATGTAATGAGATTCTGTCTAAAAAACCAGAAGGAATTTATCTCTGCCTGACTCGTGGTTGTTGTGTAGATGCCTGCATCGAGAAGTACAAGGCAAGATTCGGGACATATTTTAAGGATTAAAATCCTAGAAGGTGTGGAGGGATGAGGCAGGGCCGGGTGTACGCTATGGGAATCTGCTTACTCCATCCTCTATTCTTAGGGACACAGCACACTCACGGCTCAGCTCACACAGCTGGTTCTAAGGGCATGCGGAAGTTCCCTTCTGTCCCATCAAATTATGCCTTGTGACAACCACACTTAACCTCCAGCCTTGTCTCTACCCTAGTCATTGCAGGGATAGGAAGTGGAGTCCCAAAGTGCAGGCGCACTTACAGCACCTGCTGACAGGCAGGTAGAGTTCAAGGGCTTTGTGCAAAAGGAACAATCCTTTCTCTCATTTCCTTATCTTGTCTACCTCGGTCCAATACCACCTCCTTTGGACGAATAATAAAACAAGCAGCAGCCATTAAATGAATGAATAGGTCTGTTTTTCCCCCCTACAGGAAACTTCCCACAGCTTCAGCCTTTCACCTTTCAACTCTTGTACCTCATGACCACTCTATCTCTATAACTTTTTAAAGTTTTGTGTGCATGAGTGTTTTGCCTGAATGTATGTATGTGCACTAAGTGTGTCTGATGCCCTCGGAAGTCAGACGCAGGCAATGGATCTCCCAGAACTGTCATTATGTCATTATGGATGGTTGTGATCCACCATGTGGGTCCTGGGAATGGAATCCCTGTGTTCTGTAAGAGCAACAAGTGCTCTTAAATGTCAAGTCACCTTTCCGGAGCCCTGCACTTACCCCTTTAAATAAAATGTACCACTGTTCTCTCTGCGAAATTGTAAATAGGGTGGTCTGTCCGGAGAAGACCATTGTGCTTCCCCATTTGCGGCATGTCTTCACTATTCTGTTATCTGCCTCCTTTCATTCTCCTAGAGAACCCTTACACAGCACACTGTAGCCCAGAGGGTATTGCTTTCTCAAGGCGCTTTGTATCCTAAACCACAGTTGGAAGCATTTGTCTCTTGCTAGAGAGATGCTATGCTTACAGGGGAGGTATGGGGGCCATGGTTAGGGACAGAGCTTCTCCCTTCCCAACACTCCTACAAGAAAACCACTGTTTCCTGTCTCCAGCAAGGGCAGTGTGAACCCTGCCCCAGACCTAGAGGTTCCCTCTGTCCCTCTTCTGCCGATCACACTGAACAGGGCTGGCTGAAACTGAGCTGACAAAATCCCATCTTTCCTTGTGTGCTCTACCACACAGTGCTTCTAAAAGTGTGGTCTTTGACCCCAATGATGTTTTTTAAAGCATGGTCTCCAGAATTGAGGACCACTGGCTGGAGACTCAGATTTCATCCAAGCAGCGATGCTGCTTCACCCTCTACCTGGAACATCAAACTCAGGAGGCTCATCCTGGGTCCTGTCCCCTAGTTTCTTTCCTTGTCCCCAAAGAACTAGAATTGGCCACCGATAACTGAAACGTTAAGTTCCTGTAATCGACTGGGACTAGCGATTTTAATATCTCATTATTTTACACTCCAAACAAAACATTGCTTGAGTCCACACTTCAGGCGCTGCCCCTCTTTCTTGCCACCACTCCTGCTTCCCCACAAGTGACACACTTCCTGTTCCTTCCTCACTTCTATCTGGTTTTTGTTTGGCCTGAGCAATTTTACTCCTTTCCAAAGGTATCTTATTCTGCCCTATTTCTGTCTCTGAGAACCTTGTTTCTCTCTCAAGTTTCTGGCTAATTCCACCTCATCATGATCCTATCTGTTCCTCTGTCCACTGCCTAGTTTCATCTTTAATTCTACCATGTTGAGGTCAACGCGTTCTTTCCATTCCTTTCCCTAAATTCTTGGCTCAACTGGGGTAGGCAGGAAGGCCCTACGAGAATTACCTAAATTGCCGTATTCTAAATTTCTATTCCCCGTTTATCTCTCCAGATATTTTTAAGGCCATGACAGAGTATTGCTAACGGGTGAGTTGGTGGGGTGAAAGGCAGATTGTGCCTCAATATTGACCAGCCCCCAGTCGCCCCTCCAAATCCAGCCTCAGAAACAAGCCCCCTCACCTTGCCCAGCTCCCAGTTCTGCTGGGTCAGTGACCAGTTCTAGAGGGCGCTGCAGTGCTGCACGGAGAGGGTGGGGACAGACCTTGGATACTCCCCTCCCCAATTCTCTACCCTGTCTCAGGGCCACTCAGCAAGTGCCTGGAGTTTGGAGCCCCGGGTGGTGATGACCTCCTCCAACTGACCTCAAGGCAAGTTCACAGAAGCTAGATATTTTCGGGAAGTTAAAGGAAGCTTGAAGGGGTACAGGTGGAGTTAAGACACAGAGAAATCTGACTCTGGGGTTGCTTTGAACTGGGCAGGACAAGGGCCATAGGGGCTGATGGCTGACCCACTGATCTGTTGAGACCAAGCCCCTGGGCCTGCAGGCAGAACCTCTTTACCTCATGAGTATAGCACAGGGTTGTAGGGACCCCATGCAATAGAAAGAAACCTAAAGGGCACCTGCTTAAGGGTGGTGCTTCGGATGCCTCTGAGGGATTTCTCAGGCTGATTGTCTCTAGGCTTCTCCTGTCTTCTTGTGTTCGCTCTCACTTCCCCTCAACCACTTTTAATAAATCTGATCTTTTCCACCACACAGTGAAAAATCCACACAGATAGATATTAGGGAATTGAGAAAAAAGAAAGGACAGCCATTGTGATCCTGGAATTACTTGGGGCACCTGTTTCTGCAACGAGCTTCAACAAATGCTTGAAATTCTGACATGCTGTCTACTCCATCCCAGCTTTCATGCTCACACCACCTCAAGTCTCAAGTTTTTTTCTTTTGATCTGGGTATGTTGCCCCTATATTAAGTCTGCAGACTTCCAGTTTTCATGTTTCTGGGTTCCTTGCTTTGGCTTCATTGAGAGTCAGCTAAACTAGATAGCTTGCCATGCTGGAGTTCCCCCAGAGGATGAGAGGAGGAGAAATTTGCTAATTTGAGATCCTTAACACTGAAATGATGTGGAAGTGGGTTCTGGACATGTAACCTTCACCAACACAGAAACAATAGAAGTAAGTGGATTATAGAAAGCACAGTGGTGTAGGTGCAAAAAGTACGCAGATCACCTAATAGACCAGCCCCGAGAAGAAGGCTGAGTGAAAACACTAAATACGCACATCAGTGAGTGGGTATTGACAGCTTCAAGAGAAGAGACACGAGCCACGCGGGGATGGCTCTTCTTCGCTGTCATCTGGACTACATCTGGAATTAACTCTAAAGCCCACGTGGCCAGGTACATTACTCACAGTTTTGTTCTTAAGTAAATCACCTGAAGTAAAAAGAAGACCCACTTTTAACCCAGATCTTTTGAGTGGGAAGATAGACCCTTTAATCTGGGCCACACCTTCTGATGGCAGCCGAGACTCAATGGAAACTTTTGTAACTTTTGCAATTAAAAGCCAGAAGAGATTGAAGCAATCAATGTACTCCAAGTTCTAAAATCAAACCACAAATGCCAACCCAGACCACTTTACCTAACAAAGCTATCTGTCTTAGCTGAAGCTTTAATAAAAACATGCTATGAGAAACACGCGCGCGCGCACACACACACACACACACACATACACACACACACACACACACACACACTCGTTCTTTCTGACCTGCAGAAAATACATGAATACTGCAGACTGAAGAAAGGAATGAACACAGCAAAGAGGTCACACACACAAACACACACACACACAAAAACCCAAACAAATGAAGCTATAATAACTGATACACAAAATCAGACTATGAACACAAAAAGGAAAAAGAATGATACACACCGTTCTCAATAATAGCTTTACATAACCCAGTCTGTTTATTTGTGTCTTTCCTATTGAGAAATTGAGACCATTCACACTGAGAGTCCTCAGGGAACAGTGTTTGTTGATTCCTCTTATTTTTTTCGTTATGGTGTGGGGTTCTCTCCCCACGTTTTTTGATTTGCTGTCATGGGATTATTTATTCCTGTGTTTTCTTGGGTGTTTCTCTTGCAGCTTTTAAAATTTCTTTCTCCTATGTGTTTAGTGTTCTGATTATATGTTGTGGGAATTTCTTTTCTGGTCTGGTCTTTTTGGTGCTAATTATGCTTCTTATACCTTGTAGGGGTTTTCTCCTTTAGGTTAGGGAAATTTTCTTCATTGATTTTGTTGAACATATTTTCTGTGCCTTTGACCTCAATTCCTGTTATTCTTAGATTTCGTCTTTTCATAGTGTCTCAGGTTTCCTGAATGCTTTGTTCCTGTTTTATTTTTTTAAGATTTAACATTTTCTTTGACTGAGAAATCTATCTTTTCTATCTTGTTCTTGTCCTCAATACCTAGGATTTTTCTCTTGTATGTTGTAGTAGTTTGAATGCAGTTACCCCCATAAGCTCATAGGAATTGGAACTAATAGTAGGTGTGGCCTACTTTGTACTTCTACTTTTGTAGAAGTAGGTGTGGCCTTGTTGGAGGAAACGTGTCACTGTGGGGGTGGGCTTTAAGGTCTCATATATGGTGAAGTCATGCCCAGTATCTCAGACCACTTCCTGTTACCCACATATCAAGATGTAAAACTCTCAGCTCCTCCAGCACCACATCTGCCTGCATGCTGCCATGTCCCATCGTGATGAAGACACCCCGATAGTTTTTTTCTTTATGAGAGTTGCCATGGTCATAATGTCTCTTCACAGCAATAGAAACTCTAAGACATAAGTCTCATACTCTGTTGGTGAGACAGACTTTGTTTCACCTCCTAAAACTTTACTATCCAATTTTACCTCAATTTGGGTTTTCTTTAGTGATTCTATTTCTAATTTTAGACACTGAACTGTTTCATTCACTTCCTTCCACTGTTTATGCTTTCACAGACTTCATTAAGGGATTGATTGACCTCCTCTTTGCAGTTCTTAAGCGGTTAATAATGCGGTCATTATTCTATTCATAATAGCTATTTGAAGGCTTGGCTTGTGCTTCAGCTGTCTTGCTTTTCAGGGCCTACCCTAGGAGAGTTGCTGGGCTCTGGCAGAGGCTTATTATTCATGGTGGTTTGGGTGTGGTTTCTCGGTGGCATCTGGGTTTCTAGATTTGTGAATATCCGTGATTGTAGGTGTTGATACCTGGTCTTTGTTGGGTTGAGTGCTCTGTACCTTAGTTCTGTCACCCGCTCTGGACCTGAGAAAACCGTGGTGACTATGGGTTGTCTGGTAGGGAGTACTACTGAGTCCCTACCACGTGTGGTTCCTGGGGCTTCCAGGTAGAATATGTTTCTAGATATTTGGGGCTGGTGTAAAGGAATGGGCTTGGACTAGGAGAGTAAGGGTCTGCAAGGAGAAGGAAACGGGTCTGCCACAAGAGTTAACAAAGCCCCCAGGGAGTGAAGTCAGAGAGCAAGCAGTGGTCTTACACAAGGTCGTGAGTGGTCTTACACAGGGCTGGAAATGATACAGGTGTCTTTGAGTCATTTCTGCTCCTGTCAGTAAACTTTCACCCATATTATTGTGGCCCCAATAAAACTCATTGATTTACCAAGTTGGACTGTGGTTGTAGCCTCACTTTGATCAGTCATGGTTCCTTATCTGGAGTAAACAGATATTTGTTCATGTCTTCCCAGGAATAGTTTCACATAAATGTTCACTAAAATGTTATCCCAATAATAATCTGATTATCATTGTATTAGACAGGTGAGGTAAGAGGAAAGCCAAGAATTGATGTTAGGGACATTCATCTCCTTGCTATGATGAGAATAACCAAAAGTTCCCATGCAATGTATATTAAAAAGTGGGAATTGTGACTTATTCATTTTAGTGTTCTCAGGATAGGACCCAAAGTCTTGCATTAGTGACTGGATGTGAGGGATATAATTAGCTATTTGGAGGAAGTCCTTCGGTAGAGCACCCAGATGGCCCAATGAGCTGGGCAGCCTGAATTGAGTTCATGGTTTCCTGTATTTCCCTAAAATAGTCAAGAGTTTATCGATGAAAATAAATGGAATAATCATCTTAGTCCAGACGGGCTCAGGGTGTGGATATCCTATTAGTTACTGGTTCTAATCAAGGTAATATAAGGTTGATTACGTAGGACTGAATGAAATTTTGTTTAAAAAGTAATAATAGAAGTGTGGTGGTTTCTAGGAAAAATAGTTAAGTGACCAGAGTCATTAACAGCTTATTTTAGGTAGAAATAATTCTAGATCATTGTATTTTTGGGGGTTAAATCCCAGGACTAGAAGGGTATGCCGTAACCTCCCACCATAAGGGCATTTAGTTAGCTTTGTTCTGTGTCCAGAAGACAATGTTCCTCTCTCCAGATCGACCCTATTCTCATTCCCGTTGCTTCACTAGGCCACTTCACATTCAAATGCTCAGAAGCGCAGATGTGGGGGTTTCACAGTTCAGATCAAATCCACAGTAGACACTGCTAGTGTTTTTCTGATTTGGCTTTGGTGAAATTAAAATGGTCATTCCTTGTGCATGAAAGAAGGTTCACAGTAGCATGCTTTCCTATACATAACGTAAATGCATAGTGACTGAAATTTCCCTTGTGGAAGATGAAATTTCTCCTGGGAAAAACACGGTCAGCGATACTACTGGGAAAAGCTCCCGTGTTCACTATGACCTTCTTCTCAAGAATAAAAACCTCCCAGAAGCATCCACTCTCTCACTTATTTGGCTTCACTTGGAGGCAGATGGTCTGGGTCCTAATGCCTTCCTTGTCCAGGAAGTTAGAGTTGCAGCCTGTGGCAAGAGATTGCCTCCTGCTACCCAGCACCCTTGTGTGCAGAGTGAAACCATACATGTGCTCACTCTAGGCTCACGGTGCCCAGAGTAGACTTGTTCTAGAAAAGGGCACTAACGAAGTGTTCGTGTTCTGGCTGCCTTCTTGCCTGCACTTCTCATAAGCATGTCGTCAATATCAGCAGTCTCCCCTCTGAGAGTTAACCCTTTCCCAGCTCTCAGTCCCCTTTGCTGAATTTCGATATTTTACAAAGAAGCAATCCAAGACCACAGGTGCTTAGGAGAAAGGCATGGCTAAGGTCAGAAGAGCGGAGCTCGGACTGGAACCCTGAGTTTTCTAAGTCCCCATCCAGTCCTGCTCTGCTGCCACCAGCGCCCCGTCAGGAACCACTTACACACATTTAACACTTGTCCTGACCGCCTACACTGTGCCACACCCCATGCTGAATGCTTTCACACCCACAATCTCACTTAACCTTGCATTCACGTCCAAAATTTTATATACTATATATAAAATACTGTAATTCAGGATAAAAGCTACAAATTCACTGTAATCAAGTTTTACCCCCAAATTAATCTTAAGACCATGTCTGAATTAGTAGGACATTCAGAGGTTATTCTTCTCTTGCCCTTGTCTCAAAGACTCATTGAGGATTTGATGGTGTTCCTGGCGGGCATTCTTGTGTAACCCTGGTGATTTCCCTCTTCCTATTCCCTTTCTTTAGAAAGGTCTCGTGGGAATAGCAGAATCTCAACTCCCGCTCCCCTCCCCTTCCAAGCCCCTGCTATGGATCTCACCTCAACACCCACCCTTTCCCTTCCATTGGCGAGCAAGAGGAAACACAGACACAGGAAGGTCTTGTAAACAGCTTCAATGAAAGAGAGTTACTCTCCTTGGAGCCTGTCTGGAAAAGAAACAGCGCCCAGAAAACAGCTTTGGCATTAAGGATTCCTTGAGCACCCAGGACCTTCGCTTTTTGCAGAAGGCTTGGTGCGTGCTTTTCCTAGTAGGTTGTAAACACTGTCAACTTTAGTTGCAGCTGGTTTCTGGATGGTTCGTTTTACCACCCTCTCAGGTTCCTGCCTCTTCTCGTCCCTGGATTTCGAGTTTGGCCTGCTCTCATTTTTAGATCGAGACCTGCCGTCTTCCCTTGAAGGTCCTGCTCTGATATTTTCCATTGCCGTGGCCCTGGTTTGCATCCTGGCTCCCATATGTGCCTCTTCTCTGGCGTTGGTGCACTCCTGCTCCCTGCCCTGGACACACTCCTGTGTCCTGGTCCTGGCACGAGCCTGTTCCTTGCCCCTGGCACAAGCCTGCTCCTCGGCCCTGGCACACACTTGGTCCATAGCTCTAGACCTTGCTCTAGACCTTGCCCTTGACCTGGCCCTTGACCTGACTCTTGTCCCGACTGTTGATCTTGTTCTCGTGGACTTTGCCTTCAAAGCCCTATACTTGTGTCTCCAGAATTCTCTGGCCTTCTTGGCTGCCTTGCGACGCGAGCGTGGTCTGCGTGGTCTCAGGGCTTGAGATTGGGATTGGAGCAGGGTCTTCCTTGAAGAGCAGCGGTTCAGCGCCAGTCCGGACTGTCCCACTTTTCTCCTCGGTTTTGGAACCTTCCAGACCCTGAAGTAGCCTGTGGCATTGCTGCCACTGACCCGCAGAAGTGTACCCCTCTCGGACCCGTCGTGGCGGTTGATCTTCCGGCGCACTTGGTAGCCTGCATTTCCCAGCTCCTTCTTGAGCTCTGCCAGAGTCAGCCGCTGGTGGCCAGCGATGGCACTGAGCAGTAGCTGGGACACCCTGAGCATTGAGCGCGGGCCCCGCCTGCCTGGTGTCCTCAGGTTTCTGTCTGTTGGCTGCTGAATCTGCGCTGTTACTTCTGCACCTTGGGATTCCCTTCTGGACTGGGCCCCCTCAGCCATGGGCCTCTCTTCCCCCATCGCGGGGCCACCTACTTTGATCTGGCCTCAGGACTTACAAAGCAAGCTTGGAGCTCTGGGGCGCCCACGTCACAAAGGGGGGGGGCGGGCCCCGAGCGGGCGCCCTGGTGGGAGGGCAGACTCAGCTTGCCTGCAGACTGACCTCCTTTGACCCCGCCACCCTCCACCCCCGCCGAGTTCTTCAGAGCTGCTTGGCTCTCCCCTCCAGGGATTTGATCTGGGTTAGTTCTTGCATGAGTTCATCTTTCTCGGGCTGTGCTAACACCCACCCAAGAAAAGAGGAGCTGCCCCCAACCCACACCAAGAAACCAATATGATGTGTGTAAAAAGGAAGAGAGGGGCTCCAAGAAACAAAAGTCCAGAGCCCCACCCCCACCCTCACTGCCATCTCTGCACTTTGTCTCAAAGCAACCTGGCTACACAGTGGAAGGAGCCCAAGGGCAGGAGAGAAAGAAGCTCTCTGTGGTCTCCCTGCTGTTCAGGTTCTCACCATGGCAAGGTGAGAGGCCTCCTTCCCATAGACAGGTTGGCCAGAAATAGCCAGGTTTTGAATCCCCAGAAAATACTTTCTTGGATGGCCTATCCACTCTTTTTTCACTGCCTAGACAAACTTTCAAGTTCTTGCTAAAATTCTTTCTCCAAAACTGAAGCTCTCTAGGCCAATTGATCCTCCTTAGTTACCACAACCGCAATTATTTCAGTAATCCAAAGTGCTTCTTTTGTTTTGTTTTTAATTTGGTATGTAAAGGTACAATGCATGTAGTAAGCTTTAGAAAAGAAAAAACCTGGATTTTGGTTAGGAGACATAGGTACATATCAAACCCAGAACACTACTCTAACATGGAAGATGTGGTGGTCCAACCTCAAGCTAAAATGCCAACTGAAAACCAAGCCAAAGAATCACTGTGATGAAATACCTCCTAAGATTTTCTGCTTATGTGGGTTACTTTACTGACTGGTTTCATGTCATCTTGATACAAGCTAAGGGCATCACAGAGAAGGGAACCTCAATTGGAGAAATGCCTTGATGAGATCCAGCTGTAAGGCATTTTCACAATTAGTGATTGTCTTGGGGTTTCTAGGGCTGTGAAGAGACACCATGACCACAGAAACTCTTATCAAGAAAAACATTTAATTGGGTGGCTTATGGTTTAAGAGGTTTGGTCCATTATCATCATGGCAGGCCATGGAGGTATGTAAGCCAACATGGTGCAAGAGAAGGAGCTACATCTTGATCCTGCAGGCAACAGGAAGTAGTCTGAGATACTGAGAACAGTTTGAGCATATGAGACCTCAAGTCCACCTCCACAGTGACACACTTCCTCCAACAAGGTCATACCTACTCCAACAAAGCCACATCTCCCAGAAATGCTATTCCCTATGAGCTTACAGGGGTCAATTACATTCAAACTTGCACAGGGATCAAGAAGGAAAGTTCCAGCCCATGGTGGGTGGGGCCATCCCTGGGCTGGTTGTAATGAATTTTGCACCTCCCAGGAGCTTGTGGTGGGTCCACTAACCAAGGTGGCTGGCCCAGCCATGAGGCGGTGTGAGCAGGTAGCGGGTGGGAGGCACATGGACAGACACATTGTATAGAATAAAATTGGATATTTATTAGTTGAATTATAGAGGGGAAGGCAAAAGGGGAGAAGAGGGGTGAGAGAGGGAGGAGAGAGAGAGAGAGAGAGAGAGAGAGAGAGAGAGAAGAGAAAGGACAGAGGGAGAGAAAGAAGGGGGAGCAGCGGCAAAGGGAACAGAGAGAGAAGCCATGAGGGTGAGGGAGGGAGGAGCTGCAGGGAGTGGGCGTGCCTTGTCTCCTAAAGAGTCGAACAATCATAACATTCCCAGTTTTTTTTTATGATAAAAAGTCGGAGATTAGATATCACAGGTTGACGCAATTGGGGCGCAGATTCTCAAGACTGCTTCTGGCTTATTTGTGGGTGTCGGCTGGGGGGGGGGCTGAGAAGGCTGGGTGCTGGCCACATCCTGGCATAGCTGGTCTCTTTGCTCCTGTCTGGTGTTTGTGACATGGAAATGTCTGGTGTCTCTTATACCTGTTTAAGGTATTGGCAGAACAAAGAACAAAGTTAAGTTTAGGAAAAATAATTTTTAGTACCAGGGAATCGAGGGGTTGTGTCTGACCTTTTTAAGGTGGGTCCTTTAATTCGGCTCCCTGGAACTCACAAGAATTCTTTGGGTTTGTGAAAGCAGAAATTTTAGACATATACATTGTATAATGACTGTGACATATTTTTGTACAATGAGAAGTATTCATTTAAGATTATGGAAGGCAGCATAAGAGAGAAATTTGATCTGAAATTTCTTTGGTGAAGTTGTTTTTTTTTTTTTTAACCTGACAAAACCTCTCAGCTATCAAACTGTATCAGAGAACTTTGAGAAGGATAAAATTTTACTTGAGTTACTGATTAAAAAATGACAGAGAACTTACTTGGTTGTCACCCAGAGCTACTCTTTTAGGGTCCTCCATTGTCGCTGAAGGTCGCATTTGCCTTTTGTTGTTTAGCGCAGGGCCTGCCAGGCTCCAGAAGATCCTGTGGGCTAAGAAATCTGTAGTAAGATAGGCCTACCCTGACCTGAGCAGCTAAGCTGTCGACTCCAGCGATTCTGTCCATGTTAGAAGATCTTCAACCTAGATGAATGGCAGCTTTGCCCAGGGTAGATGGGCATTGTTGTGTGTCCATTTGTCTTCTGTCTTCTTGGGAGGAAGTAGAGTGCTGCTGCTAGGAGCCAACCTGTCTCTTTTTGTTAATTAAATATTTAAATATTAATTTCCCAGATCTCTGAGCAGTTGAGGGCTGTTTATTAGGTGTAACTACAGTATAGAATCTGTCTGGAGAGTTGGGTCTAAGCTTGACTGTACTGGCTCTTAACAGGTAAGACTTACACTCGTAAAAAGGCAGGAAGAAGAAAAAACTGCTTGCAATAGAAGGTTAACAGCAGAACTGACAATAGTAGAGAACCGGTTATATATTTTAAATGAGGGTTGGATTAAATATAAGGCATTTTTTGTGAGAGAATTAAAAGTACATACCAGTTTAAAACATGAGACTTATTGATTTTGTAGTCTGAAATGAGATGTAAAGAACAATTATTACACACAGCATGCTACTGCGCCAAACACATGTAACAGAGTCAACAAGAGGAATTTAGTGAAACCCGGGGGACAAGGCAGGTTATACTTCAGTAAAGATGGGAGAACTTGGTCACCCGACCTGGCCCTCAGCCAAGATGGCGACAAAGTCACCTGACCCCAATCAAAATGGTGTCAACCACATGTTGTATGAAAAAAGCCACAAGTTTTGAGATGTAAGGAATTTTAAGCTTAATAAAAGGGACCTAAAGGTGTAATTGTTGAGCCGCCATGCCACACTAGAAGCCTCAGAGAGGAGCAAAAGGCTGGAACCAAAAAAAATGCACCATGCCACAGATGAAACTGAAAAAGCTGACTGGAATTTTAAAAATGCCAGGGAACATGGATGGTTGCTATTCACAGCCGAAATCATGAAAACTCATGAAACAGTGGCACCTCAAGGCCTACAAGGGGAACATCTCCCCATAAAGGCGGGATACAAATCGGCACGAACACCCAGGACCCGTGAGCTGGGTGTCCCCTAACTCCAGGTGGGGTGTTATGGCCTGGCTGGATCCGGTCGGTTGGAGTGACTCAGAAACCAGAGAGGCCAGAGGCTGCTCCAAGCAGCGTTTTACAGCGAGGGAAGAGAAAGAAAAGAGAAGAAATGGAAAAAAAAGATGAAGAATCTGAGGGACCCTGAGTCCCCAGTCGAATGCACCACACAAGGAGTGTACAGTGCTAATGCAGGCTGACTGATCCCGGGTGAGTCCAAACACGATTCCAGTTAAGGGAAGCAACTGTAGCAGTACTGATTGAAGCTGGGAAGTCAGTGGTGGGAGTAGAAAAAAAAAAAAAAAACAAAAAACCTGGTGCAGGAACCTGACCTTGGGAGAGGAGTTCCGGGCAGAAATGCATATCCGAGTCACGTGGCACCAAAATGTTATGAATTTTGCAGCTCCTGGCAGTTTGCGGCGGGTCCACAAACCAAGGTGGCTGGCCCAGCCATGCTGCAGCGGGCCCCAGCTGGCCTGGCAATGAGAGCAGGCGGTGGGTGGGAGGCACATGGACAGGCACATCGTACAGAATAAAATTGGACATTTATTAGTTGAATTATGGAGCGGAAGGCAAAAGGGGAGTAGGGGGTGGGGGGGAGAGAGAGAGAGAGAGAGAGAGAAGAAAGGACAGAGTGAGAGAAAGAAGGGAGAGCAGGAAAGGCAGGAAAAGAAACAGACAGAGAAGCCAAGATGGCGAAGGAGGGAGGGGCTGCAGGGAGTGGGCGTGGATTGTCTCTTAAAGAGAGAAACAATCATAACACTGGTGGTCCTAGGTTCCACAGGAAAGCAAACTGAGCAAGCCCTGTGGAGCCAGTCAGTAAGCAGCTCTTCTCCATGGCCTCTGCATCAGCTCCTGCCTCCAGGATCCTGCCCTGTTCTGCTTTTCTTGGATGATGAACAGCAATGCTGAAGTGCAAGTCTAATAAACTCTTTCCTCTCCAACTTGGGTTTTGGTCATGGTGTTTCATATCAGCAATAGAAATCTTAATTAAGACAGTTACTTTTAATTAATTTTTTGAAGTCATCTTGACTTCAGGGTTTACGTTATGGCATCCTCATACATAATCTTCATTTTTCTTTTTCATCCCCTTTCCCTAGTGCCCATTCCCTTGCCTTCTTCCTGGTTTCTGTTGGAGAGGGCCACTTGTTGGTTCCCAGCTGCCAGACTAGCTTAGACCCAAAATAATCACGCAGAAATTGTAGTAATTAAATTACTGCTTGGCCCATTATCTCTAACTTCTTATTGGCATATATATATAATTTAACCCATTTCTGTTAGTCTGTATATTGCCACATGGCTGTGTCTTACTAGATAAAGTTCCCAGCGTCTATCTCCAGTGGCTCCATGGCTTCTCTCTAACTCCAACTTTCTCCTCCCGTGTTATAGGCTAAGCCAGT